AAGTTGTGAGTCAGAATGCGCCGCGATTTCTGTTTCTCCACCACCGATTGCGAGTTGAATCCCTTTGATTAGTGCCTCGTACTCCGCTTCTTTATTCGAGGCCTTGAATCCTATTCTAATGGCGAAGTCGAGTTGCTCGCCTTCAAGGGACACGAGGACAACTCCCAAGCCTGATACTTTGGCCGTCGAGGATCCATCGACATGCATGATCCATTTCTTTTCTTCTCCCTCGGTACCTTCTTGGATAAAATCTGCCAAAGCTTGAGCCATTATGGCTCGTCTGGGCTCATATCTGATGGAATACTCACTTACTCGTATGTCCCCTTACTCATCACGAAGCTCTCTTTGCTTTGCTCCTCTAGGGCCAAGGGAATTTGATGATACCCTTGAGATGCATCCATCATACTTAGCAATTCACAACTAGCCGTGGAGTTGACTAGCTGATCAATCCTTGGTAAGGGATAATGATCTTTGGGGCACGCCAACTTCAAATCACGAAAGTCGATGCACATGCGCCATTTGTTCAGTGCCTTTCTTACCATCACCGTATTTGATATCCATTCAAGGAATTGGATTTCCTTTATATGCTTGGCTTTTAGCAGCTTATCTACCTCAACTTCGATTGCTTTGTCGATCTCAGCCCCATGATGCCTAAGTCGCTGCTTCACCGGTTTTCTGAGGGGGTCGATATTGAGTTTGTGCTCCATGACTTCTGGGTCGATTCCCGTCAACTCTTCAGGGGAGAAGGCAAATATGTCCCTGAATTCTTTCAACAACTCCACCAACTGTTTGCGCAACTCGTCCTCCAGCTCTCTCCCGACTTTGGTGGTTTAATCCTCCCTCTCCCCGATTTGGATCTCCATTAATTACCCATGCGGCTCTAGGTCACTCCCTCTTGGCCTTTTTTCATTCGACATCGGTTTCTTCCATTCCTTGATCTCTGCTCGCTGGTTGGTTTTTACTGCTATCTGGTAGCAGGTTCTCGACAGTTTCTGATCTCCCCGAGCCTCTCCGACTCGATCTCCTACGGGAAACTTCAATTTCATGTGATAAGTTGATACCAGCGCTTGGAACGCGTTCAATGCCGGCCTCCCGAGAATCACATTGTAGGCTGACTCGACATCTACCACCACGAATCTCACCATTTTTACTTTTCGTAAGTCTCATTCTTCCAGGACGACTGCGAGCATGGTTTCTCCTAGGGGTGTGACTTCTGAGCTGTTGAACCCAAAGAGAGGTGTGTGTAGGGGGCTAGTTCGAGGTCAAGCTCCATCCTCTTGAGGCAATCATAAAAAATCACGTTAACAGAACTCCCGGTGTCGACAAACACCCTTTGTACCTCGTAACCCAATACTTGGGCAGTTATCATTAGAGCATCATTGTGTGGCCTCTCGACTTCGCCTACATCCACTGGCCCAAATTTCATCACCGGACCGTTCTCGTCGACTTGTTGTACCTCGGCTTTCCCGTGACGCCCTCGAGCATACTTTCTCTCCCGATTTGAATCTCCATCAGTTGGTCCTCCGAATATCATATGAATTACCCCTCTTTTCTAAGGGAGTTCCTCCTTCTCGGGTGTTCTCGCCCTTATAAATGAATTCCCTTCGCCGATTGGTCCTCTCTCGATCCTTATAAATGAACTCCTTCAGATGGCCCGCTTTGATCAGCCTTTCGATTTCGTCCTTGAGGTGTCTGCAATCGTCAGTGTTGTGCCTGTAGTCTTTGTGGAATCGAAAATATAGGTTGCTTTTGGGCTTTGTTGGTCCATCCTTTCTCGTCCGAGGCCATCTGACGACATTGTCATGGATCTCCTTCTCCATGACCTCCAATATTCTTGCTTGCAGAGCCGACAAGGGGGTGTATTGAGTCGGCCTCCATCCTCTTGACCTTCTCTCCCTCTCTGCTCTCGAGGATCCTTTCTTCTCCACCGCCGAGTTTGGTTTTTTTATCCTTATTCTCGTCTCAGGATTCAATTTTCGCCTTTGCTGCTTGCAAGAAGTCGGCTTCGGCCTCCTCGACATTCATCTATTTGGCACACCTTCCCAGGACCTCATCAAAAGTCCTCTCAAGTCACTTCACCAGGGAGTTTCTGCACAACCCTGGGAGTAATCCTCTAGTGAGTCCGCCGGACTTGATCTCCTCTGTGGCCGAGGGCACGTCGACACACGCCCGTGTGTCTCTCGCCACATAATCTCGCAGCGATTCTCCATCCTTCTGTTGCATACATATCAAGGTAAGGTAAGATTTTTCTTGGGCCTTCACACTTGCGAATTGGTTCAGAAATCTTGAGCTAAATCCGTCAAAGTTCCTGACGGCTCCCGGGGTAGTTGGGGGAACCAGTCTTGCGCGGGTCCTTACAGAGTTGTCAGTAATGCTCGACATTGAACATGATCATTGTAACGATGCAACACCGCCATGTTCTCAAACTCCTCAGATGTCGAGAGGGATCAGTCAACCCGTCGTACCAGATATTGAGCTCTCTAAACCCCTGTGGTAAGTCAGCATCTAGAATGTGTTGCGAGAAGGGGTGTCCTCTCGAGCTCCCAGTTCTTCTCCCCTCGACTCGGGCCTGCAAATCTCGCACTTGTGCCATCAGTAGTTCTAGGGTATCATTTCTCGCTTGTGGGTTAATAGTTCTAACAGAGGATTCTTCCTCGTCCGCTCTCATGCTCTGCCTTTCATGGGATTGTGCTTGCTGCACACGCTCAGGGGTTGGTTGCTCGACACGAGGCTGCTCGACCCTGGGCTGCTCGACTTTGGGTTGCTCGACTTGCGGCTGCTTAAGTTGGGCCGCCACTGCCTCAGCAATCATCTTTTGCATCTCGCTTCTCGCCACGGTCAGTGTCTGTTCCTCGACTTGGGGTGGTGGCCTTGCTCCCTGCTCAAGTGGCCCAGGCTGCCTCCCCAAACCTAGAGATGTTTTGGTCGACTCCTGCCCGTCGACTCCTCCACTCGCTGGGGCCCTCCTTGTGTGAGCACTGGGATTTTGACCCCAGGTGGGGTAATAGGCGTTTCCTCCTCCATACGCACTCCTGGCGGCACATGTGCTCCGAACGGTGGGAAACCGAGCACTTGGAGTGCTGGTCTAGGGTTGGGAATCGGCGGAGGCCACTTGTCCGTCCACGTTCCCCTGAAATCCTCGCTCAAATTCCTCTGCAGTCCTTCCTTCTCAGCCATCAGAGACAGATCGGAGCTAGATGCAAGCTCTTAATTCCTTTAAGAACTCCCCACAGACTGCGCCAAAATAGTGGGTCTACTCTCAGATTTAGAGTGAACTGGTGGAAACGAGCCCAGGTCTGCCTAAATCGCCTTCGAACCGCTGCTGGACCGCGAGAATACCTACAAAAACTCAACGCCGGAGGTGTTTCCGGCGTAGAGCCTCCGACGCTCAAATCAGTATGTGAGAGAGATGAAGAGAGGCTGCTCTGAGAGAGCAGCAGCTATAGAGGAGAATATGGAATGAATGAGAGTTAGGGTTTTGGAGTTACCTTCAGCTCCTTTATATAGAAGCAAAACATTTACCTGAAGTCCCCAAAATGCCCTGGCCGACTTATAGGAAGTGTCCAAAATGCCCTAGTCGGTTCGCATTCCGTCCACCTCCTAGTCAGCATCCAGATTCCTTCTTATCCTTGGTAGATTCATTCTTTCTTGGAGGTTTTCCTACGACATATTGAAGTATATAGAAGTCGTCGGAGGTCTTGGTGCATCGAGGCGTCATAAGTCGGCTTCAGTCGTTGTCGAGTCAACTCGAGTCACTCTTTATCATCCGTAGATCATGTTATGTCTATCCGTCTTTTTTTAGGGAGGTCGACTTCTGGAGGTCGACTGAGGGAGTCACCTGGACCTTGTTAGGCCGGAGACAATTCTCAGGAGGCTCTTCGAAAGAATCGACTTTATAGAAGTCGATTCCCCGATATCAGTTAGTGCGGATCGACTAATATGCTTGTGGTTCGATGGGGTAGTCGATGCTTGAACCGCTATGCTATAACATGGCTATATCAACAGCACTTACATATTTTCCAAAGCAGAAAAGGTGGGGACCCAGACTGGGTATTACATTGAGTATAATAGCTAGATCATAACAAAGGTATGTATATAAGTTTGCTTATGGGTTGAGGCCGAGGAGTTCTCCCCTAAACTTTGATGGTGGCCCTAGTTTGCCTTAATATTCCACTAGAGTGTGCACACGGTTACCGGCCAGAGTGTTCGGAAGATTACAAATTCAGTTACTGGCCAGAGTGTCCGGGACTGGCTAAAGTGTCCGGGAGATTTCAGTTTACTTATATACCTGCGATCATGGTATTGATATTATTATTGTTGTTTACTTTAGTACGGGTTGTCACGGAGCATGGTGATTTATTTCTCACACCTACTTGTTTTTCAGATGACAAGATTGGCGGGGAAGTGTGAGCTCAGCTGTGGTGGTGTTGGTCGTGGATTTGGCCGAGCTTGCCTATTTGTGGACTTTTAATAAAATTGTCTGTATAATCATGCCACGCTTTTAAGACATTCGTTGCGCTTTTCAGTTTCGAACTTGAATGTCTTCATTTTCAGACTTCAATAATTTACCCGGTTCGCCAGTATGAACGGGTCTAGTTTTACATGCTTGTCCGATTAAATATTTTAAATTTGTTTTTCTTATGTCTAAACCAGTCATTAGACCGAGTTTTGAGAAAACGGATTTTCAAGGCAGTGAAGTTTTAGCAGCATCCCGAGTTAAGTTGCAAACGATTTCGAAAAATTTATAAGTATTTTCGAAACAAAAGTTGCGAAAAATTTTTACTGTGATATAAGTAGAAGCGGGGTGATGCATCTTTTATTCGACTTGGAAGGCGGAGTATTACCACAAAATGAATACCTACAAATCAATTGAATAAATACATGCCCCAAAATAATGCGTGATGTTTGCTTTTCCTTCGCTAAAAAAAATAAATAAATAAAACCCCTCTGCAACCAAAGTCCAGATCCCTAATCTTTGCTGCCCCTCCTTCACCGGAAACCTATATCCGCGTCGTCGGGGCCGGCTTCCACCGAGTCGGGGCTGGTGGTCCTTCTTCCCGCTGTTTTCGTGGCCTCATGGGTGTATGGCTTGGATTGGGGCATGCAGATTCGCCATCTCCCTGGCCACGAAAAGGTCGTCGGTCGTTCGGGTCAGGCCCCAGCCCCTGGAGTTCTTCGGGTTGTTGGTGCGTCGGTGTTCGGGTTCTCTTTGTGTGGTGTTCGTGTGCGGCTCGACTGTGCAATTGAACCTTTTTCGAGCTCTCCGGTGTAATTTTTGACAACTTCAGGGCGACTCCCTTTCTCCTCTAGCGTGGATGGTTTTTCGGAGTCTAGATCTAAATTGAGAGCAGACTCTTCATCAGATCCAATTAGGCGGCATGAGTGGCCCAATTTTCGAGCTTGAAATTTTAGTTTGCGGCTTTGTTGGATTTCTATGCTAGTGGTAGTGGCTGCTGTGCGGTCTCAAAGGTGGCCGGGTGTTAGGTTTGTTAGGTGGAGGGGAGATCCTAGTTTATTTGTTAATTAGGTGTGTGTTTTTTCTCTCTTTTTGTTCTTTTGGTTGTTTCGTTTAGTGCAGCTATGTCTGCTTTTTAGTGCATCTTTTTAGGGCAGCTCTGTCTGCTTTTTAATGCAGCTCTGTCTACTTTTTTCTCCTTTATGGAGTTTGTCTCTTTTTTGTAGTTTTTGTTCACTTCCTTGATGGAGTTTGTACCCCCTTGTATGTGTTGACAAGGGGTCCAGTTTTCTGATTCCAGTGTGTCTCTTGACATTTCGGGTGTACTCTTTTGAGTTTTTAAGTTATTAATATAATTGTCGTTTAAAAAAAAATACATGCCCCAAAAACAAAGTGAAGAGGTGTTGAACATAAAGTACAAAATCCTTGGACCATGACTTCAAGATGGGAAGTTTCATATAGAAAAGAAAAGGCAGTCACACACAAACTAATATCACCAGGATAACATGGAAACCGAGATACTTAATGCAATCCAAACTTTGTTCAACTTGGCAACACACAACGAAAAGCACATTATTTGTAAAAAGTTATAAACCGCTAAACACAACAAAGGGTCTCAACGTATTGAAATCCATCCGTACCCGAATACCTCAAACGACCTGGTGAATTAACACCCGCGAACTCGCTCAACATTTCGAAAGTCCGACAAACAAGATTATACCGAATGGCTTTTCCAGGAATCTCCACAACCAAGAATGAACCTTCCTCCTTCTCACCTCGAACTAAACAAAGTAAAGAAAAGGCGTACCGAGGGGAACCCATTGGGCTAACATAAACCGGCTTCATACTTGTATAAGCCTTTAAAAGAGGCAAAAGATTGACCTCGTACTTCACAAACCACTCGGAATAGTCCCTCCTCATCTCGTAAACCCTGAATTGCAATTTCCCCTTCGCCTTGATATAGTGCAGGTGTCCACAAGACTCTCCGAAATAATAGTGCAGGTGTCCACTAGACTCTCCGAAATAATAATTGTACACGTAATGCCACCCAGCAGGAGGGATTGGCATTGTCCCGAACAACTGATTATCAACATTGAAATATAGTGAATCATTTCTAGTTCCATCGCTAGTCCAGTGAATGGCTCCATTCCAATACACCCCATTTTCGTAATCCACCCGGGCTTGTGGGGTCGGCCCGTGATTTCTCCAAGAGCCCGTTTCCGATGAATAAACCTCCAACTGGCAGCCCGTGGTACTCGATTCCGATCGGACGCAAATAACTTTGTAATGAGGAGAGTTGATTGGATCAAAAGCCAAGCTCATCCCACATATCCCGCCTCCCAATTCTGGTTTGGGAAGTAGGACAAACTTATTGGTGGTGGGATTGTGAACGTAGTACTTGCGATTGTGATGAGAAGTCCTGAAGCTTGAACAGAGTAAGAGGCCATTGCAAGAGTGAAGGATCCTGAGGCCTGATGGGTCCTTGACGAACTTCAGTATCCTTAACTGTGGCTTGGTCGCTCCCAGGCCCGTGAAGGGGACATATTCTATCCGAAGACGGGCCACGTAGTGCAAACACTGCAGGAAGATCCCGGCGGCCGGATTGGGAACGGGATTGCGCTGGATACTGAATCTTGGATTGCAGATGACACGATGCCACTGCTTTGAAACTAGTTTTAATTGGTTGAGTGTCTTTATGGGGAGGCGAAGGAAAATCGCTATCAGGAGATCGTCAATTGAGAAAACAGTTTGAGGTGAATCGGATTCATTTGTTCTTGGGACCTTGGCTTTGATTTCCATGTTGGTAAGCCTAAGCCAAAGGAATATTTCAATGACGAATGAGTATTGAAGAGGTTTTGTTTTGATACAGTTCTTGTAAAAACCATTTCCTATATTCCATCTTTATAGATATAGAGTGGAGAAATTTTCTCGTCCAATATCGCCATATCTTCTCCACGAATATGTTAATTCTGTTGCGCTACCAATTTTTTTTTTTTTTT